GACCTTAGAGAATATGAATGTAAGTCGCAAATAAATTTGCCAATTTCTAGAAATCTGGAACACAAGATGGCACTTTGCCAGCCATCATCTAGGTCGGCCACCCAAAGTCAAACACCGTCCATTTGGCCAACACCCTCTTCGCTTTTCATTAGCCACTCCAATGGGAACACACCGTGCATTTTGTAATTTAATAACTCACGCAAGTAAATTAATTTAAAATCATATTTATAGCATTTTAGTTAATTAAATGCGCAAAAATGTGAACCCGCCTCCGCTTAGTCCCTTCTTTTTCAGCTAGGTGAAAGTGTCAAATGCATGAATGTGGTTACTAATGTTGCTTTTGTTGTTGTAGTGTCTGTCACACACACACTAGCACTTGCTCACACACACACACACACACACATACACACACCTCTTTTTGCCATCCGCCTGCTTGCCGCGACATTTATGAACTTTATGAAGTCTGCTCCATAAATCATCTCTCCCATACTCTTTTCTACGGCAGGGCTAGCATTTTGCTTAGGCGAATTTAATGAAAAAATGAATTTCGTATTCCCAACGGGCTAGAAAACGAAGAAAGAATACTCTAGAGCATATAAACTTATAAAAATAATACAGAAAACTTCTTGCTAAATAACAATATAAATACAAAAGCATCGCAATTTTAAAACATTTTAATGGAACTATATTTTCCAATACGTAGGACTAATAAAGTAAGCCTTTGTTATTGAGCTCTTAAATAATTGGTTAGAAATACTTAGAGAGTTTTAGAACGCCTTTTATTTTAACTATTAGCAATCCTTATATATTTTTGCAAATTTTCCAGGCAAACTTTGAACTTTCCTACCTTAAGGACTAAATCCCATCAAATATTCCAATTCACTTTCCCTTTATCAAAGGGTATTCTCACATTCCCCGGTCCGTGGATGTGGATTCCTCGCGTAAGTTGTCTGCACGAAAGCGAAAGATGAAATCATGCGGTCTGCCGAGTGCCTCCAAAGGTGGAGCAGGGATTTGGGACAGAACTGGGATAGGTGACTGGGTGGCTGAGTGGTTGAGTGGTGCAGCATGTGTGCCACATGGCGCATTGCCGTATCCACGGCTACGACGACGACTGTTTGTTTGCCTCTTTGTTTATGTTTTGTTCATCTTTTCTGTTTTTGTTTTGTTTGCTATTTATATTATTTTTAAGACTTTGGCGCTCTGGATGGATTATTATTTTGCGCTTATTTCTAATTTTTTCCGCATCATCTTGGGTTTTATTCATCTCCTGCCGAGATTTTTATACCCAATATACAAAGTGTGAGTGGTCCTGAGGGCTGCAAGTTAATGTGGCGCATTATGTAGCCACATAGTTTCAGTTTCGCTGGGATTATGCAAAGTTATGCGGTCCATCCTCTCCCCCGACTGCCCTTCAATCTGGCCAATAAAGTGCAGAGCAGCCAACGCACATATAAAACAATTTGCCTACAAAAGAGTCTCATTTTCGGGGTGGGGGTGCTGGCAATTTAAAATTGTTTATAAAACACAGGTCGGCAGCCACACACATGAGCATAAAACCTGCATGGCAAGATGGTAAGTCCTGTTGCTGGAGCGGTGGCCGCAATAGCTCCCAGAGGTCGGCATTAAATTCTGCTGCTGGCCTATATAAGCCCGAGCCCGGGGTTTGGGCCATGGACCTAACTACACCATGGGGACGGCAATTGATGATAGTCTAAGGCCCAAGATATGTAGCCGTGGCTGAAACTGAAGCTGAAGCTAAAACTGAGGCTGAGGCTGAGCCGTAAGCCTAAGCGAATGCTCCGGGATATAAAAGGACTTAGTCGCATGTTAACGCCATGCCACGCCTACGCAAATCCATAACAGGAGCAGCAGAATCAGGATCAGAATCGTGGGGCAACCACCCCCGCAATGCACTGCATCCATGGTGGTGTAGATGATGCCTCCCCGAAGCCAAATCCCCCCACCCCACCCCTCCTGTTGGCCATTATGAAGTCATAAACGCACATGCAGCCAGGCCAAAAATTGGAAGAGCCCATTGGGGATGGGCCCGAGGCCAGCTCCATCTTCATCTGGCCCCCGACTTTTGGCCGTTTCTGTTTTTTTAGCACATGTAAAAATGCTTGTTATCAAGGATGAAAAAAAAAAAACAACATCCGCAGAGGGGGGGCCGAAAAAAAAATTAAACAACGAGATGTGGACAATTTTCGGGCATAGCCCCAGGCTTAAACTGTTATTACCAAAGAGGAGTGGGCGGTTCAGTGGGTCCGTCTGCTGTTTATGAGTTGTAAAGCCGTAGTCAGACAATAGCAGGCAACAGCAACACATGAGCGCTAAGCCGGAGGACATATAACGGGCCTGGTCTAGTTTGCTATTTTAAACAGCAGGACAAATCGGGGGAAGCCCCGACTTCATAATTCCGCCCTCTTTTGTCTCTCTCGTTTTGCCACTCTGGCTGTCAATGCTCTGTGCTGGCTTCTTATGCCTGGCTGCATTTTATATTTATCCTGGGCCAGAATTTGTGGACCTGGCCAAGGAGCAGTTAAGTGGGTGGGAAGTTCGTTTTCCCAGGTGAAATATGTTATTTCGTATAGGCTCTCGAAATGGAGCATCCAGCCAGGGGAAATTAATTTCACAGAAGAGAAAGTCAAATTGGAATAAAATATATTTTGAATAGCCTGCTATTAATTGTTAGTTTTTCTAAAATGGTTTAGAATGCAAACAATATAACAATTTGGTAATGAAAAATTATATTTTAGAAAACTTAAAAAGTGGAAAAGTTATAATTCAAGCACTTAAAAAGATTCAAAAATAAAACAAAAGACCCAAAATGTGTCTAAATGGTAAAACTATTTAGGAATATTACCCTTACAGTCATCTGAAAAAAGTATCTGAAAATGTAAAAATATTTTGCCGCATTTTATGAGTCAATTTTTCTATAAAGAATGATTTTATCTTGTTGGTAATTTTGTTATTTAATTATATACCTATATGAAGATTAACATCAACTCAATATTCAAGTTTAAAGTTCATATTATTCCCAATTTTAGAAGCCTGTTTGTTCGCAATAATGCTAATGCCCTGAGGGCGTTAAACTAATTGAAAGGGATGCCTGCCCACTTTTTGATGAGCTTTCGATCTCAAATTTCCTCCCACTTGGCTATATCACAAAGGCCACGCGTCAATTACACTGAAGTAGATGTAAAATGTGTTTTAAAAGCTTGGCCAATATTGTTTTACCATGCGCAATGGATTTCATCGGGGGTTGAGGGGGCAATTGCGTTAGCGATTCGAAGTCCGGACTTGGGCGCGTGTTCCTTCCGGTTTGGCAGCACGTGACCAGCTGAAAGGAACTGGAGAACTTGCCCGACATTCCGTCCGGGCTTTAAGAGCAACTTTAAGGCGGGTTTGGCCAACTACTCGCTCGGGCGGAGGAAAAAGGCAAAAACGGTTCGGGCGTTCCCAACACATTTTTGGCATACTTCACACAATCTACTGATGAAGTCAACTGGAAAACTCGCATAGCTTTGATGTTTCGACAGCGATTGCAATGTGTACACACGGATACACACAAGCACACACAGCGGCGGACAATACACACACACACACAAACAGTCAAAGGATGCCATTTATTCGAATGTCCTTTGGCGCATTTCAAAGCCCGCAACTTCAAAGCCCAAAAATGACCTTTGTGTGCCACAGAAGCTGTGGCAAGCTGGCCCATGCGAAAGGGGCCACTAAATAGTAATTTACTAAATTAGTTTGTTTTTCTAATTACCACTATGAGATGGCCAGCCGGCAAAACTAAAGCCGACTCCTTGCCCTTTGCTCTTCTACCAGCCACGTTGAGAGCTATTAAATTTTTTTGCAATTACTCTAAAAGGATTTCAATTAGCGTTTGAAATCGCATTAAACTAAATGAAAATGTGCGCACCACATAAAAATAATTTGAACTATATTATAAATAATAATATTCATACTGCTAATAGGAATTATAAAAACATTAGCCGCAGTACTTGCGCAAAAAAGCCAATTACCGTAATTCCAAACAAATGCAATTACAAAATATCCGAATTATGTAATCGGCATTGGGATAGTGAACCTTTCAGCGAATCCGCATCTTTCCAATTAAAATATGCGCTAGACTGAGCGTGCAAATTAATCAAGGCATTTCCATCACAAATTTTAATGGATTAAGTGGCAAATTATTCAGTTGACCCATTCGTTAATAGCTGTGTCGCATTCTAAACAAATGCATTTTGATAATATTCTCCCGAAAATGAACAACAAATTATGCATAATTAAGCAGATAGCAAAAGTAATTACAAAACAAATAAACGTGTTTGGTTCAGCCTGACATTCTGCTGCCCTGTCAAATAATTTTTAAAAATTAAACCGAACTAAAACTTTTTTTGAATAATCCCTAAAAATCATCGCGAAACGATTATCAACTCTTTAAAACTAAATAAGAATTTGAGGGGACATGATATTCTACTTTTTATTTATATATACTTATTGTTATTATTTGAATTTATACGTTTATTCAATATTTAAAAACATTTACATTTTCCAACTGATTTTTTTTTGCCCAGTTTATCAACTTGTATGAAATAACTAAAAAGCCATTAGTTTTCATAACCAACTGGTGCTAATTTATACAGAATTTATTTACAAAAGTTGAGTCATAGTTCTCTTTTTACTTTCCTCTTTCGCTTTTAATTTTATAGCTTTCTGAAAATTCATTGCTTAATATTCAGAGTAGTTTTTCGAGAATTAGGTGACTTCCTAAACTGTAAAGCAAATTTACGATCTGCAAATCAGTAATTAGCCCGACCCACAGGTTGCCGACCTTGGCAGTGGGAATAACTTTCGGAGTTAGTCAGTCAGCGTGACCAATGCTTCTCTGCTTTTAGTGATAATCAATATGCGGGACAAAAAGAATTGACAAATGCAAAACGTCACGCAAGGTGCAGCTCGAACTATAAAAACCGATGTAATTTCAGCGAGCGATTAGTAAACAAAAAAGCTAAGCAAAATGAGGGCTACTTTGGCATTGACTCTGCTACTCAGCTGCCTTGCAGGAATTCTGTCCGTGAGTTAAGAATTATTTGCACTATTACTTTCAAGTCACTAAAATGGATAAACCCTTTATCCAAACAGCAAAACACCATGGATCCCCGGGTCTCCAAGGAAACGGTGGACGGTTGCATGAAAGAGAATGGAGTCTCGGCCCAGGATTTGGCCGACTTACAATCGGGCAAGGTGAAACACGCGGATGCCAAGGACAATGTCAAGTGCTCCACCCAATGCATTCTGGTCAAGAGTGGTTACATGGACTCCACGGGCAAACTGCTGACCGACAAGATCAAGGCTCACTATGCCAACACCAACCTTATGGCTTCGATCGAAAAGGATTTGGATAGGTGTAGCAAGGTCAAGGGGGACAATGCCTGCGATACGGCATTCAAGATGTTGGGCTGCTTCCAGGGAGCCTAAAGATCCTACTAATCAGCCAAAAAGTGTCGAGCAAAATACTTCCAAGAGCAATAAAGGCTAGCAGCAGCAATAGAACAGAACCATAAAGTCAAGAAATGTACCAAAACAGCATTTTAAGTGTAATATATAAGTGCTTAGTACTGCTATCAGTAAATGGGCTTCAAATAAATTAGTTCTTCATTTACTAAGGATACTTTTAGTTGATTCATCTTAGGATTCTGGAAGCTAACATCTACAAAACTATCGTTATTTACCAAAAATAAATCTTTACTGTTGTTTCCTTTGCATTTACTTGTATGAGAGCAAACTAGTTATATCATCATATAACTATTTAAAGCTGAACACCGCTAAATTTCATTACAATACACAAAATTTCAAATAAATAGCATTTCAGCAAGTAGTTTCTATTACTTAGCATGAAGTAATTATAAATAGTTAAAATAGACTGGTTTCCTTAAAAAGTTCACTTTCTAGATATCTCTCGCATGGCAGTTAAACTGTTGCTTCCTATCCAATTTGATTTATTTCAAAATTTCCCCCAAGTTCATCTCTTATTTTGTACCCTGATAGCCTTTTTGGTGGCTAATTTGGTAAATATTCTAGCAAGCATCTGTGAAATGCCAGCAATTTAATTATTTCGAACCGCTTTGGCGAAAAGGCAAACAGAGCACTCATAAAATCATAGCCACCGGCAACAATTTCAATCGAATTGTCAGGGTCGGGACACTCTTTGCGATTCCACAGCCCCATGTTGTTGTTATCGAAGACAAACTAAGTTTTCATATATAAATAGACGCTGCCGCCTGGAGGCGCTGTGGCCCGATTCTCAGCGATTTTGGGGCCAGGCTACATATTGTATTCCGAGGAATTTTTAATTTCTTCATTGTGAAAATATTTATTGAAACCGAACAGCGCCGAAGGCATCGAAAAGTTGACGGAGCACTCGCACCAAGCGAAAAGGGACAAAAGAAAAACAAGAGCCCGAAAATTGCGCAACGCGAGGAGTTCGATGGCATCGGAAAATCTTCAAATTGGAAGATGAGCAGGATGGCTGCGATGGGTGGTTGACTTTAACGGGGCTCAGTTGCAGCTTAAAGGAAAGTTTCGGGGCACGGGACACGGGACAGGGGACACGGGGGCATCTGGACAGCTCCGGTAATAGCCACTGAAACCTGGGCAAACAAATTGAATGAAATCAACTCGTTAAAAAGTAAATAACTCTGATGAATGGCTGAAATGCACAAAGAGCCCAGGTAGGAAAGGCCGGGATCTCCGCCTGCCAGTCAATTGAAAATGAAATACAAATAAAAGTGCAAACAACAGGCCAACGCATCGGCCACATACAAATGTTGGCTAAGCAGCAGGCTCCAGGATATGCCGCTGACGATGTCTGGACTGTCAGGACTGGCCGAGGAAATTAGTAGAGCCCGGGCACAAAAAGGAACTGAAATCGTTGAAAAGGCAGAAGGAAATGGGCTGTAAGCCGCCGCAAGCCCAGGAGCCAACAAGCCAGGACATCGGACTTGCAGATGCGTCTGCCGCAGGAGGCAAGGAGCTGGATGTTTTCCTTTCACATTCATCGATGAACTTTCAATAACAGAACTTTAGCCAGCCGATTTTTTATGGCCACCGGGCTTCCTTCGCCCTTTATGCACCCTTTTTTTCAAGGATATGACATTGAATTGCACTGGTTGCCAGCCGAAAGTGCAGGATGGCAAAAGTTTGCATCCGGGAATGCTTTTGGCCTGGGCCTGAAAAAGTTGTTGCTAAAAAGTTACTTTGCGAGGGATAAGAGCTCTCGAAACCGGTCGAAAACTTATCTGGATAAGAAGAGATCTGGAAAGTAAGAGCACAGATTCTTTTCGTCAAATAAAATATTTATAATTGACTTCTTACTGCGTTTTAAAAGGTTTTTAGATTAGGACACAGAGAAAAATATCTCAAAAATAGATTTTCTATTTATTACTTTCTTTCAACAAATATTTATTTATTAAAATGTGTGAGTATTAGTTTTCTGCAATTATTTTTTAAATACTAAAATTATTACTATTAATTATTTAAAATATCTGAATATTATTCTTTATACCAATTAAAATAATTATTTATGTATGTAAAATGTTAGTATATGCAAAGAACATTAGGTATTTATTATGGGTTTTGAAATTAAGTAAACTTAGGTGCAAGTTTTGTCTACAGCGTACTTTTAAAATATATATATATATGTTAAACTAAATTACAACACAATATTTTCTGAATGTAACACTCCCACCATGAATCAGTCAGTTTCACACCCAAAGCCATGAGCTTAATTACATTCCAACAGGATTTGAACGAGCACGATCCCTGCTTTAGACGTTGCCACGGCAACACGCTTTTCACTAGCTTCCTTGCCGCTGCTGTTGACAATTTCCAGGGCGCTGCTTTACATTCAGATTTCGCATCGACTTCACCTTCCGGAGACGCCGACCAACCAACCGCAGTTTATTAAAAGCTAAACAGCCAAGTTGCTGATGCCGCTGTCAATGGCAAAAGCAGGAAATATGCATAAACCGAGATAGACTAAGGGAAATGCAGAGTCCCCCAAAAACCCAACACCACTCCAATCCAATCCCACCTCGGCATCAGCCAAGTCAAAACCCATTCAACAACAGTTTCGCATAATTGTAAATTCAAGTGGAAATGAATTTACGCTGAACTCGACAGAAAATACCAGCAAACGAATGTTGCCGTTGCCATCGCTTTTGCTGTGCTGTTGCTTTTGCTGTTACCGCTTTTCCCGAGCAGGTACCAGAAACACTTAAAGAAAAAAAATAGCCATGAATATATGAAATATCATTATTTATTTTGTTTCTAAATAATCCGTCCCTTTACAGTTAAAGAAAATGTCCAGTGAATGTTTGGAAAATTATTATTTCATATTTTTACTTTTCGTCTCTTCACTGTTAAAAAAATCCAAAAAAGGTATAATACATTATTATTAATTTGATTATAAATAATTTTTATAACAGTTCCTAATTACTAATTAAGATTAGGTGACCTATTTATCACTGAAATTACTGAAATCATAGAAAGGAAAGGCAATTTCGCTCTTTTGAAAAACAAATCTATAAAAACTATAAATGAAGTAAGATAATAAAAAAGGAATTTACAGAAAAAGAACCACAGGTTTAACACAAGAGTATATTTTTATGAACTTGAAAAAAAATGTTTAATAGTTATAAGGGGAGAGGTCAAAGAATATGTCGGTATTTTATTAAAATATGTATAAACATTTGATTTAGATAGTTTAATTTTTTAAATCAATCAAGTAACGTAGTTTAGATTTATAAGACAGGACATTAAATCTAACTTTAAAACGATAATATTGCCATATTTAGAATCCTTTTAATTGAGGCTTAATTCGGGAAAGTTAATCCAAAAACGATTCGACCTCAAAATTCTTTGGGTGTATCAGGTAACTGTGAAGAAGGTAACGGATGCTGATGGCGATGGCGATGGCTAACGGTAACGTTTCCCAATGGCGCGCAAACAATATGGCGTCGCCGTCGAGGTCGAGGATTCAAAATGGGCGTTGATGGGGGGCGTTAGGGCTGTGGGCGGCGAAAGTGGGAGTGGCAATCGGGACTGGGTGGCCCGTTAGCTGTGGCGGAATCACGTTGCCTGCATATTTTCATTCATTCGTTTCAACGTCAACGTCTGCCGACGACTGCAAAGTTATGGAATGCATAACGGGCTGTGTACTCCCCTTATGTATTTGCACTTTTGTGTATCTGCCGGATCCAACAGCGCTTGAATGTGCACACTTCTTGTTGCTCTGTTGGCTTACCCTTCAAGTATTTACGCCTTTATTTATTTAACATTTCAATTGCATATTTTCGCACAAAAGCGCGTGCCAAGCCGAAAGGATGGCGTTGATGGTGGGCCAGTCCGTAGCTGTGCAATGTCAATGCCCACCGACCTCAAAGGGCTAATTCGAATGCTTGTGGGAGCTTAGCTCACACAAATTTCTGAAGGTCCTGCACGTTTCCATGGGCGTGACCCATGCAAAATGTCCACAGTGAGTGTCAATGCTCTGGGTTCAAAAGTTTTTAAGAGGAGCTTGGGCTTCGTAAATGAGAAGTAAATATTAAAGTCAACCAATAATATGTGAACTTTTAGCAGTGGACATTTTTATTTGTTTTTTTGTAATTAAATGAAAATAGTCATGTATTATGGGAATTATTTATTTGATATTATAAAGCAAATTTGTTGATTAACAATGTTAAATGCTAAAGGACTGTTAAATCGCTAGATATATCATTTAAAATAAAATTTTTGAAATAATTTAAATTACTTTATATTTTGATGTTTTATTCAATTGTCTGTTTTTCATATATTTTAAATTGCTTTTATTTTGTAGATCAAGAATGTCATTGTGGGAACTGGTGTAAAAAGGTGAATGCAAGTGACAGATTGATGGCCATGTCGCACATCATACCTTATTGCGAAAGTGTATAACAACACTTTCAGTTTTCTTCAGACAGCCAGCCCGCATTCCATTTCATCATCATCATTTTCATTATGAGCGATGATGATGCTGTTGCTATAGCGATTTTCACTGTCGCCCAAAAGTATGCAATACAAAAGGGAGATTTTTCTCAAGTGTTCCCGCTTTTAGTTTAGTTTTTTTGAGCTCTTTTGGGGCTGTTTCTGTGATGCTCCTGCTGGTGACATCGATTGTTATTGTTGGCCAAACAATGGCAAACATTGCCAAATACATTTGCCTGCGCCGCCAGCGAGTATCTATGCGTACGTCTGCACGTCACTTGAGATAAAGTCGGATTCGGATTTGGAATGGGCGCATGATGCCAAGATTGATGGTTGCCTCCTAAATGATACCTGATTGAGTGTGCCGGCGAGTGTTTGCCTCGGTATATTCAATATTGTCAGGGGCTCAGGACTCGTACCGCTTAAGTGTCATTCTGTGTTCTCGACACGCATTTTATGGCAGCAGACTGGCAAAGTTTTCCCAGCCCCAGACAGACGCGCTCAAATAAGTTTGCGTATATGCGAATATGGCTCCTCCTGCGCCTTCTCAAAATGCCGCTGACACTGAGTGAGATAAATGGTGACAAGTTTGTAGGCCAATTTGCGAACTAAACCGTCTAGAAGGCGCCACACACAAGCACACATTGTGGCCCATAACCAATCTCG